TTACATACATTCGCTAGTAGTGGCAATTACTTTTGTTTGTGTAGTGAAACAACATACAAGGACATGTTGAAATAAACTTGTTTGAATGTTCGAAGAAATGATATTCAAGTACCAAAAAGCTTTCTTACTATCCTATCTACAGTAATAGACTAAACGAGAGTGACCACTAACAGGCATAATAATTTATGGCAAATGTTTCAAAGTTCACGCTGCTAACCTCACAATTTATTCGGCACAATAAAGAAAAGTATGGCTGTAATGAAACAAACTTGGAATAAAAAATACATTTATGGAACAAAAGTAAAATGTTTTTTTTATGTACATATATAAACATGAAATCTTAGTTAAAAATACTCATTTATTGTTTAGGTTTACTTAGAAATATTATTTTCAGGTCTTGTATATTACTTGAAACCATAAGAAGAGTACATGATAATTAAAAAAATTAAAAATAGACAAAATTTGCATCTTATGGACAATAAAAAGTTTTTAGAATAATGTACTAAAACATAAAAAGTAACAAGTTCAAATCTGGAACAAATAAAATATCGTAATCATTTCTTATAAATACTATTTCATAATGTAATTTTCCAAGATATTAAAGATCATATTGCAAAAAAATTAAATTTATCAAAAGTAACAGGCTTTGTTTCTTAAACTATGTGCATTTATGAAAGTTTTTATGATGTTTCAAATAATTTCATACACTAGTTTTACTGTTGGAATGAAATATAGCACGATTGCATTGGCTACTCAGAAAGTTAGTAGCCAGTGGTCATCGGGTTAATGTTAAGTAGTCTACTTCTATATGTTATAAGTTAAATGTTTTTAAAAGATTACTATTTCAGTATGAAATATGAATACAAAATCAAAAAGATTATCTGCTTATAAATTAAGGTAGTATGTTTTTGGAAATCATTGGACACTTTGGCCACGTATTTTTGTTGCAGTAATTGAATTTCACTTTTTAGATTACATTTTTTTAACTCAATAACAAGAGCAATCAGAGATTGAACACCCTCGCCCTACCACAAACTTTTTTATTTTTGGTTTCAATTTGCACCTGAAATCTGGTCCTAATCTGATCACTTTTTACACAGTTATCATCAACAAACTGAGAAAATGCCCTATATCTCCATCATAAAAATGTTTTAAAGTGATCCAGAACCTGGATCAGATTTGGGTTAGACTATCCTATGATGACACCCTATCTCCTGTAAAAATTTCATGTAAATATGTTTATCATCATTTTTTGAGATACACGAGCAGACATACATACACACACAGATACATATGGGCCCAAATACAATACCCTCACACCACTCTTAATAACTCTATAATGTAATTGTTTCAAAAAAACTAAACACCTTATTTACTCATAACTAAAAATATGCATGGAACATTTTTTGATCAATGCATAATGGTTGTTCAAAAATCTAAATACTGTTGCAGCTGGATCATAAAATTAAATGGATTAAGCACACCAATGATTTTGGCAAAACATTTTTTTTTCTGCAGAACCAACAAGCTTTTAACCTTTTACCTACAAAAATGAGAACACTGTTGTGCTACACTAAATGTTTTTAAACTATGCCTAACAATACTTTACAATGGTTGGGATCACTTATGCAACACGCAACTTCTCAGTAAGATTAGAGTATATATATTGTTTACATAACATATTAATAAATACAGTACATTATTTTAAATTCACTGATCATTTGCATCTTCTTACAACTGTTACAATTTCCAACTGATTTTAAGTTTTATACTCCTACCCATTAAACTGACACAAGAAATTGATCTTAGCAAATTTTGAAAATCTTAATTTGAATTACCAGTTATATTCATCCAGGGCTGCAGAGAAGTGTGCAAATCAAAGAATATGGTTGTTTGATAATGATTTCCCTCAGGGAAAAACAAATTTGTTTTACAATAAAAGACTACTTTAAATAAACACCTTTAAACTTGTGCATCATCACTCTTTGGAAAATAAAGAAAAACATTTCCTAAGCTTTACCTTCCTACATTCCATAATTGTTTTTATTTACATAGAGAGAGAAGGGATAGGAAGAAATTTATTTTATATTACTTTAGTATATAAAGAGTAAAATAAGTACACATTTATCATACAAAAACACTGTTATCACAACTACTGTTCTCAAGCAGATACTAAAACAATATGGGCCTAAATTGTCTCTAATAAGCAGCAGTTAAAAGGTATCTAATGTGGATAACATCTAGAAGACATTATTCCAGAATTATTCTAGAAAAAACTGACTTTAAGAAAAGATATTAAAATCAGAGTTCACCATTTTTTCTTAAACATTGTTCCATGCTATTACTTCAAATCCAATTACTTTTTGGCATTTTCCACTATAATGAAACAATCGGACAAAAATCTCAAATACAACTTTACCATGACACCCACCCACAAACAAGTGTAAAAAGAAATTTTATAATGTGACAAAAAGAAGTTAAAGGTTAGGAGTTTATAACAGAACCAAATTGGAAAAAAAAACAAAACAACAGCTTTCCCACTCTCAGGAACAATGTTTAGAAAACAATTACTTACAGATAAATTCCAACTATATATATATATATATATATATATACCATCCAGCATTTTGCTGAGTACCATTTCTAAATTTTTCAAAACTGTCAACAAAATAAATTATGAGTAGGAGTAGGAAAAGAAAAAGGTATTGGTGAAATAAAAACTCACCCTCTTGCCGCTTCCAAACTTTTAATCAATTTCTTAACTTTCCATACTTCTACATTTCTGTCTGCACTTGATTCTTCCATTTCTGATTATTGTACAAAAATCAGAAGATCTTACAATATCACAAGTTCAAAGTTTCACTCCACAAGCTAAATTTTACAATCACAAATCAAACTGTTAAAAATATTTTGTAATACAAGAAAAATAAAATATTAATAGTAAAACAATGCATTACAAGTAGTATTGGAGACATTACTGCAGTGCATTAAAGATGGGCAATTACTGGAACATGCTAATCTATTAATTATTGTGCTCATTACCTGATTAAATTCAACTATTTGATTAGTGTCATGAGATGGCAAAAAAAAAAAAAAATTAAACACTAAAAATTAAGTGTAAATACCCATGGCATGCAGAGCACAGATAGCACATTGTGTAGCTTTGTACTTAAAAGCAAACAATGACAATATTTTGATTACTTAAATAGTTGAGATAATCAAAATTATAATAACTGGAACCCTTATTTTTCGATTAGCTGATTTGTCTTCATGAGTCACAGCACTAATCAAGTTAAAAAAACTAGAATTATTGAAAAATAACAATGAAAATCATAATGGCAGTATTTCAATTACTGGCTACTTAGAATAATCAAAAACAATAATCATCACAAACACCAATTTTGAATAGTTGATTATTTCCATGACATTAATGAATTTAAACAATTCTTATTACTGGATAGAGTAATCAAAAACAGCTGATTATTTTTACAGCAATCAATTTAATCATAATTTCAATTAATCAATTATTTTACATGACACAATTCAATACACATAGGTTATTGATTATATCAATAAATCAAGCTAATCACCCAGCTTTACAGGGCAGCAGCTACAAAAAAAAAACACCATTGCTTACATTGTAAAAATTTTAGTTGAGCATCTTTGGTTATTACAATGAGTTTCAGACTTCATATTATAAGGACACAAAATTGACAGTATGGATGCAGAAGACTACCAAAATGATACCTGGTTAAAACATAATAAATGATATGAAAGGCTTAAACAGTTTATTCAGGCATACAAGAGCTAAAATAAGTGATACAATTCAGGATGCTAAAACTGGGTTTGAATAGACTAAAATAAACCTTTCTACATAGTAGTCTAATTAGATTGTAAACGATAAATATCAGAGGTGGTAAGTTTAGTGCTTTATAGTATACATTACTACTGCAGTTCTTCACATTTGAAAAATGCACAAGAGCTGTAAACAGCTCTAGCCAAACAGTCCGTGAGGACTGTCAGCAGGCTGATGTAACATCTCAATTCTTTGTTTACAGAATTATACTGTTTTTCTATCAACAAAACAGTTTCACTGATAATGCTTGGAGATGGCTTGAATGGGTAATGAAAAAACTTTAATGAAAGTTTAACATAACAACAAACGTACAACATGTGAATCCTTTCAAATAAGTGAAAATCCTTTTTACAAAAGTAGGCCACAATTGTACATAATATTCCAAGTGAGGCCTACCAGTGATTTGTGTAGAGAAATAACTACTACTATACTAAGATAATTTTCTTCAGTTCTACTATATTAAATGTGTGATCCAAACTATAGCTTAATGCATTCTTGCTCTATGTTACTATAATTAAATGTCATTGTCCAACTAACCACACGATCCAGGTCATTCTGCAATACCTCAACACAGCTAGAAATAACCAAGAGTTTAATGTCATCAGCAGACTTTATTAACCTACTAATTATGCCCCTGTTGACATCACTAATATAAGATGTCCAGTTTGGACTGTTATTAACAACTTTTTGCTTTTTCTCATCTAACAATACAATTTGCTAGTATGTTCTCAACCTCAATCAACATGACTTTCATAGCTATGTATTGTATGGCACCTTATCAAAAGCTTTTTGAAAATCTAAGTACACCAAGCCCACAACATTTCATCTTTCACATAACACATCCTAAAAAAATATAACAGATTAGTAAGGCAAGGTTTCTCTTATCATATTTCACTAGACAATTTTGCAAAGCTTTTATCAGACTATAGATTTTTTACTATTACAAAAGTAATACTAACTGGCTCAATTTCCAAAGCAACTCTTATCTCTTCCTTTAAAGATAAGAGTAATATTGTCTATTAACCTACCAAAAATGAGTGAGAGAGAGAGGCATGCATGTCTTATCTTTGACCTCCTTTACAGCCCTGGGGAAAATATTGTTTAGCCCTGGTACTTTATTTTTAATCTTTCCAAGAAATTGACACATACATGATTCAAGTAAATTCCAATATTTCCCATAGAATGCCCAGGGTCATGAATTATACTAATATATTTTCTTGTAAAAATAGAAGATAACATTTAAAAGCTCAGCCATTTCATAGTTTCAACAAAAAAAACTTGCCATCAGCCTCCTTTAAGGGGTCAATCCCCATTTTGCTTACTTTAACATACTTAAAAGAAATGCCCACTATCAATTTAAACATTTAGTCAGCTGTTTCTCATAAGACCTTTTGTATTTCCTAATTTCTTTTTTTTTTCTATCAAATCCCTAGCTTTCCTATATTTCTGTAAATCTACCAACCTATCTGTCAGTTTAAACTACTTTAATTTGTGGAATTTATCCCCATTTCTCTTTGTCTTTAGTAATCTAAGTAGGTTTGATCTTGACTCTTACCCTTTGTCTTTTTAGGAACATACCAATCTTGAATAAAAAGCAATTTATTTTTTAAAATCTCTCAAACCTGTCTCACATCACCCTTTAACTTATAATCCCAATTCATTAATAATTGCATATCACACATCAGCATATAAGTTAGTCATAAATATAGATTACTTGAACAACAGTTACATAGATTTCATTTCAATACATACATGACAATCACGTAGAGCCTCAACCACACAAAAGTTGTTTAAAAATTTATTATTTTATGAAATTTCCCAAATAAAACCTCTGTCTTGCATTCAAGTACGAAGATGTCTAATTATCAGAGGTTGCATTCATGCAGAATAGCACTACATTTCTAAAGTGCAGATGTAACAATACAGGGTCATGAATTATACTCATATATTTTCTTGTAAGAAACAATGATTAAGTTTTTGTTCACATCAGATATGATCACATGTATAAATTCAAAACTCCTGACAAGCTGTAGGGATATGCCAACAGAATGAAAATATTATATTGATTGTAATTTTTTTTATTTAATTTGCTGAACACATGCAACAAGTTACAGAGGATCTAGTAAAGTATTAATGGAATTAATAGCAACATTACCACATCTTTTTTATTTAATGGTGAAAATAGTAATATTCAACACAGCAGTAAAAAATGCTGGCACTTTATAAGAGAAGAACTGATTTCCTGAAAAACTAAGGATGAGGTTTAAATTATTTCTTTAACATTCAGTGAGAATCCAAATGGTTTCTTTGTTATCCTTACATTATGCTTCCAAGACATTATTGAAATAGCTAACTCATAGCAGATGTAACTCTTTAAAAGTGAAAGCTTTTCAAGTTTAACAGTAAGTCCTGGGTGAGGGGAACCCTCATACTGAAAATTAATTTTAACCATTTTTTGCCCCTAAAAATGCAGTTTTTCAATTTTAAGGTATTTGGTTTAATTCCTAAAAGGCAAACACAGGCATTTAAAAAAATGGTATTTATAATGAAAACATCAAGCTATGTAATCTTTTGATGTTCTTGATTTACCTACAATGATTAAGTTTTTGTTCATATCAGATATGATCACATGTATAAATTCAAAATGAAGTATTGGATTAAAATGTCAAATTGTGACTTAAAATCCTTAAAGTCCATGGATTTCATCCTTTTATTTTCCTCCAAAAAGTCCTGATAAGCTGTAGGGATATGCCAACAGAATGAAAATATTATATTTCAGGGATGCATAACACAGGAAAAATTTCAATATTCTAGAACTTTGTAATAGCATGGCATTTAATTACACATAAATGCAAATGTAATGACAAAGTTAAGAAATTGCTTGACATTATATCAGGCACAAAAAAAAGTCAACACTGTAATGATTGTAACAAAATTACAGTAAAACATAAAAAGAAAGTTGTGTTTTTATTCTATCTTTAAATTCTTTTATATGCTAAAAGTTTAGTCAATAATTTATTGTCAGTTTCATCACAGTAATTTAGTGTAAATTTCACATCTCCGGGTTCAAAATGAACACAATTTGAAGCTGGATTTTTACAGTGAAATTTGTTTCAGTTCATTGAAGAGAACTATACAATTATCATAAAACTGGTCTCTATATCAGCATGACCACAACATGAGGAAAGAAATTTCCAAAAATTACAGCTTTGTTGTATACTGAGTAATAGCTGTGTACTCAATGGAATGGGAAGATCTTGAAGTGCTGAAGGAAAGCTGATCAGTTATGAAAAAAAGAGTAGCACAAAAGTATGCCATCACTGTTATTGTAGGGTTCATACAGTTTTTCACATGCAAATTTCAAGGACAATCAAGGACCACTAAGATATTTCAAGGCCCTATTTAAGGAGTATGATAGTTTCAGTTAGTGAAATCTGATAACCAACTCTAAAAACAAGGTTTTTGTATTACCAAAAATCAAAATTGATCTCACCTTTCATGTAAAGGTTTATTTTAAATTAGATATTACACCAAGCTATTTCAACAACTACATTGACTCCTTCTATTTTTCCTTGAGCTCTACCTCTACAGGTTTAAGGTTTTCCTGCATTTGGTTCGCAGTTCTCAAACCATTTCATTTTGAAATGAAACTCAGTTTTCCAGTTGCTTCAGTATTTTCTGCACTTTTCTCAAGTGATTTTAATAATTGGACATCTTACTCTATTCATTTCTCTTCTTCCATGACGTGGACAATCTCCTTCATCTAGGATCTTTTTTGGAGACTTTTCTTCTGAGCCTCCTTTTCTCTTCAATAATCCTCCAGGTATGTTTGGTACTTCTGTCTAGCACTTGCTGCTGAAAGGCACAGCTCTTTGAAGTAAATGATGTTAAACACACCTCCCACACTACAAACATGACCATTAATGATACACTGTGCTATCAAAGACTGCT